AGGGAGGGAAGTAACTTGGTATTATTTTGGGAAAACCATACAAATAGCATGCAGAAACATAAACCATGACTAAGAGTCCCTTCAGGTAGTTAAAGGCTGCTATCAAATCCCTCCTCCTGCAGACGAAATCCTGCCCAAATCCCTAAGTCTCGCCTTCTTACGTCATGTGCTCCTGCCTCCTAAACATTTTTGTTGCCCTCTGCTGCACCCTTTCCAAAGCGCCCACATCTTTTCTGTAGTGGGGGCCCCAGAACTAGATGCAATGCTACAGATGTGGCCTCACCAGTGCCAAATAAAGGACAATAATCAGTTCTCTATATTTGCTGGAAATGGTCCTCCTAGTGCACCCTAATATGCCATTAGCCTTCTTGGCTACGAGGGCACACTGTTGACTCATATCCTGCTTCTCATCCACTGTAATCCACAGATCCTCTTCTGCTGAACTGCTCCTTAGCCAGTCAGTCCGCAGCCTATAACAATGCTTGGGATTCTTCCGTCCCAAGTACAGGACTCTCCACTTGTTCTTGTTGAACCTCATCAGATCAGTTCTTATGGAGTCTGTCATTAGCTTTTTTATTGAAACAGTGGGGAGATACAGATTGAACCAGTTTTACAGCTCATGCTTGAAGGGCATTTAGCCTGACTCAGACTATGTCTATACTACAGCTGTGTCTACACTGGCCACTTTTTCCGGAAAAGCAGTCGCTTTTCTGGAAAAACTTGCCAGCTGTCTATACTGGCCGCTTGAATTTCCACAAAAGCACTGACGCTCTCATGTAAGATTGTCAGTGTTCTTGTGGAAATACTATGCTGCTCCCGTTTGGGCAAAACTTTTGCGCAAAAGGGCCAGTATAGACAGCCCAGATTTGTTTTCCGCAAAAAAGCCCAGATCGCCAAAATGGTGATCGGGGCTTTTATGCAGAAAAGCGCGTCTAGATTGGCCACGGATGCTTTTCCGCAAAAAGTGCTTTTGCGGAAAAGTGTCCTGCCAATCTAGACACGCTTTTCCAAAAATGCTTTTAACGGAAAAGTTTTCTGCTAAAAGCATTTCCAGAAAATCATGCCAGTCTAGACGTAGCCTGAGGATGTAATAGTGTGGTTGACTAATTGATAAGCAAAAGCTTATCAGTTACTGCTATATACTATATGCATTCTTTTTTCTCCCCCTTGCCCCTCCAGTAAATTTTTTAGCAGGCTAGGAAGCAGCCTGACTCAGCCCTGGCTCAAACTTGGTCTGGGACCTACCCCTGCATTTTAAGTGTATTAGGAGTCAGAGGGGCAGGCAGCCCATCTGAGTTCTAGCTTGTGCTGGGTCTAGGTGCTCAGACTCCCCAGTTCCCCCAGTCAGGAGGCTCCTCAGGAGTGGGGCCAGAACCCACTGGCTGCTGGTCCTGTCCCTGGGGATGATATAAATGGTTGAGTATCCAATAAAAAATCATGAGGTTACTCAACGATTCAATTACGTGATATGTAATCTACTCCCCTCTGCAGCTGGCAACTTGCAATAGTTTGCCTTCCTCTTACAGTGTTTACTGGGTGGAGTTTTCCCACATATAGCTCCGTGCTCACAATTGCTCTTTCTCTTTCAGTCTCGGGACTCGGTGAGTTCACTTCTCAGGGATCTGGGGAAGCAGGGAACAAGTGCCCGGGTTTCACACTTACTCGTTATTTAGGGAGAGGGGTTGGAGTCATGTTGCAAAGCCCACAAGTGATTTAATGTAACCATGTGGGGGAGGAGGAGCAGAGAGACTGGGGTCCAGATGGGGGGAGGCGAAGAGGTAAGCACACACACCCGCACTAGGCCACACTGACTCCAAAAACTGAGGGGAGCCAGGTCTGCTGTAAAACAAACCTGCTTCTGGGACTGCAGTGGGTTTCAGGCTGAAGAGAAGCCGGGTTTTAGCAGGCAGGGCGGTGGGGGGCAGGGACCAAATCATTAGTAAAACTGAAAGTGTTCTGTAACGCCTATTACAGCTGCCACGTTTTGCATATCTCAGACTGACTTTTGCTTTAGGACTGGGCAGGGAAAATTTTGCGGTTGGGGGGGCCGCTGAAAAATCAGTCAAGGGCCGCACACAAGAAGGAAGAGAAGCCGGGTTTTAGCAGGCAGGGCGGTGGGGGGCAGGGACCAAATCATTAGTAAAACTGAAAGTGTTCTGTAACGCCTATTACAGCTGCCACGTTTTGCATATCTCAGACTGACTTTTGCTTTAGGACTGGGCAGGGAAAATTTTGCGGTTGGGGGGGCCGCTGAAAAATCAGTCAAGGGCCGCACACAAGAAGGACCCACACACACAATCCTCTTGCACCCGGAACCTAGCATGGCCCAGGAGAGTAGATTTTGTAGTCCCTTATGTTTTGGGTGGGGGCCAAAAATGAGAGGTTCAGGGTGTGGGAAGGGCTTGCTGGGAAGTTGGGTCTGGGAGGGAGCTAGGGTGCAGAAGCGGCTTGAGGGTTTGGGGTCTGGGCAGGAAGGGGCCTGCAGATCTTGAACACCAACCCCCCAATGCTGGGGGGTGGGGAACTCTGAGCTTCAGGGGCCAGATCCAGGCAAGCAGGGGGCTGGATTTGGCCCCCGGGCCTTAGATTCCCCACCCCTGCTTTAGGGCAATGTTTCTCAGCCTCTTTCTGCTAATGAACCTCTTAGGACTCAAAACAAAACGATTACGACAGCCTCTCCCACTAAGTCTTGGGAACACGGTGTCCATTAAACTCTT